AAAACACAACCATTTCCAATTGTTTCGACCAACTTGAGATCAATTATGTACGTCATTTTTGCTTAAAATTGGGAAAAATATAAACTAAGATTGTTTCTGAGAGCAACCTAATTCAACTTGTTTTCAACTGCAAGCTATTGAATGTTGATTGTTGATGCTGAATTGAAATTTTAAGAGTTTCATCAAAAGGGTATTAATAATTCTAATACCTTGAAATAGTCAAAAATATACTGTAACGATGCATTAAAAAACAGGAAAATGTACTGCCCGAAATCTCGAAATCTAACATGTGATCAGTCCCTTAAAGAATATATTTTGGTTTGTTTTTCTTTGTTAAGTTTTAATAAAAGGCATGACACATACATAAGCACACATTTTTTTAAATATTCTTTTACGGATTTGGAAGGAACATTTTGTTTTGTTTTTTTTTGTTTTTTTTTTTTCTTTGGTTTGTTTTTTCCGTCGATCTTGTTTTCCGTGCTGAGCACCAATGCTACCGACTTGCCAGGAAGGCAGCTCCCACACCTGGACCCTACCTATCGACCCATCAACTCATGAACCGGGGACCAACGGCTTTACTTCCCATCCGAAGGAAGGCGTGATCAGAGATGTTATGCCTCAGAACATCCCGGCGGCGCCGACTGGGATTGAACCCAGGCCTGCTGGGGTGAGAGGTAATCACGCTTACCATTACACCACCGGCGCCGTTTGGAACAATTTGTTTTTAACTTATTTTCGATGCAATACTTTTTTTGTAATGATCCAATACTTTTCAAAATGATCTAAAAATTTCTAAGGCAATGCAGTGCTTTCCGAAGTGATTTCGAACTTTAATGAATTGATTTCAAATTTGTATGAAACGGTTCAGTACTATTAAATGCGTTTCCGATTTATTTTTCAATAGATTTATGACTTTCTGAAATGATTCCAAACTTTTCTGAAGTGATTCAGAATTTTCTAAAGTGATTCAGTACTTGCAGAAGAGATTTCAAACTTTATTGAATTGATTAAGTACTTTACAGATGAATTACAAAATTTTCTATACCTATTCAGTAGCTCACGAAGTGATTCCGAACTTTTCTGAGGTTATTCAGTTGTATCTGAAGTAATTTCAAACTCTCTTTATATGATTCAGTTTTTTTCCGAAGTGATTCCAAAACTTCTAAAGTAATTCCGTAATTTCAGAACTATTTCTGAAGTTTTTTCCCAAGTTATTCCAAAGTTTTCTGAAGTGATTCAACACTTTCTGAAGAGATTCCGAACTTTTCTTATATGATTCATTTCTATTCGAAGTGAATCAGTACTTGCGGAAGTGATTTCAAACTTTTCACTAAATTCTGAAGACATTTCAATCTTTTCCGACGTGGTACAGTACTTTCCGAAGTGACTCTGAACCTTTCTAAAGAAATTCAGGGCTTTCGCAAATGTTTATAAACATTGCTGAATCGAATCAACACTTTCCGAAGTGATGCAAAACTCTTCTGAAGTGAATCAGTGCTTTCCGAAATGACTAAAACATTTTTAAAGTGGTTCAGATTGATTAACAGCAAGAGTTCACGCGTATTGAATGAAAAAGACAACAACAAAACAAACCAAAAGTCAGAAATTCTCTGAAACGTCTAATCATAGTGACCTGTATCAAGAAAGCAAAGAATGAATTTCAGTGAACGTTTTTGCACTGATGTGTATCGTATAGTGATTTTTCCATATTATGTTCAATCTTTTCAACCCTGGTTTCAGTACGTTATGAAGTTATTCTAAACTATCCTGAAGGTAATTTATTGATTTCTTTATTATAGAGACTTTCAGTCGTTGACTGGTCCGTCTCTACATCCTGAAGTGATTCAGATCTTTCTGAAGTGATTTGGAACTTTCCTGTACTAATTCAGTATTTTCCAAATGATTCCGATCGCTTCTGAAGTGAATCAGTACTTTCCGAAGTGATTCAGTACCTTCCAAAGAGGTTTTGAACTTTATCTAATTGATTGAGTATTTTTCGATGTGATTTCGATCTTTTCTTAAGGTTTTCAGTACGTTTATAGTATTTCTGTTCTTTCCGAATTAATACAATTAAACAAAACAATTTCTTTAGGTCATCCTTTCATAGCAGTTTCACTTCATATTCTAATGATTCCAAACTTTTCAGATCGAATTTGCTTCATATTCAAGTGATTCCAAACTTTTCAGGTGTGATTCACTTCATATTCAAGTAGATCTAAACTGTTCAAACCGGTTCACTTCATATTCAAGTAACCCAAAATGTTTCAAGTCTGATTAACTTCATATTCAATAGATTCCAAAATTTTCAGATCTGATTCTTTTTATTTTCGAGTGATTCAAAAACCTTCAGGACTAATTCACTTCATATTCAAGCGATTTCAAACTTCTCAGATCCGGTACATTCCAAATTTTGGATTTCAAAACGAACTGAGCACTATCCGGTTGGTCATAGCTTACTTAACAACTGTGCTAAAGCCTCGAACTTTCTAGGTGATCGGGATCATGAGATAAAATAATTACAAAAATTCACAATTTTACATATATGCGTACACGTAATAACAGAATTCCCAACAATACTAACGACCATCGGGACGCCGTTGGTCTTCTAAACAACTTTGTTGAAGATTCAGAATCACGAGATAAAATAATTTTAAAATGCTCAGTTTAACATCAACACTAGCGCCACGCAGTGCTTTAATTCTAAACTAAGCTTTCCACCTTCTGGACGCCCTTAGCCTTTTGAAGAACTTTGCTGAATACTCGAACCACAGACAAACAGACATAACACTTTGAAAAAGTTTTTCTTGAAAACATAGTATCTCAAAACATAGGTCCTCAGTAACGACATCTCTCTGCCGTCGATACCAGCGCTGCGGCGAGTAGTTCGCGGAACTGATAATATTCAAATCAACCGTTAAATGCGTGAACGAAGATACACAATAAAGTGTTACGTCTGTTTGTCTGTGCTCGAACTTTCTAGGTGTTCGGGATCACGAGATAAAACAATTTTAACAATGCTAAATTTTGCATGCTTACTAGCGACACGTAGTTAGAGAATTTCGAACTATTCCGATCGTATTTTGGACGCCCTTGTCCTTCTGAACAACTTTGCTCAAGACAGCCCTTTTGTATATAATCAGGATTTCTAGATATTCTTATTCTTTTTCGCATTCGGGGCTTATATCTTACCGCATATTAGCTTATTACGTGCTCTCAACTAAGTGTTCTAGATGCACTTCTACAGTTATTAATTGAGAGCTTCCGATGCCTATACCATTTTCGCATTATTATAATTGTGTGGCAAGTACAATCATACTCCCAGATCATTCCAGGGATGTCGAGAAATCTTCCAACCCGAAACATTCCTAGACCAGACCGGTAATCGAACCCAGCCACCTCCAGCGTGGTCTTGTTTGTAGCTGCCCTTTACCGACTGAACTAAGGGAGGCTGATTTCGAGATATAGGTGATACTAAACTTTTTAGGGGGTTCTGCAATATTCAAATAAGTTTTGCAATACTTTCCTAAGTATTTATGACTTCTTCTTCTTCTTCTTCTTCTTCTTCGCATTTCAAGCTTATTGCATATCGCATATTAGCTTATTGCGTGCTCTCAACTTAGTGTTCTAGATGCACTTCCACAGTTATTAATTGAGAGCTTTCGATGCCTGTACCATTTTTGCATTGATATGATTGTGTGGCAAGGCAAGTCCAATCATACTTCTATGCCCAGGGAAGTCGAGAAATTTTCCAACCCGAAAAATTCCTAGACCGAACCGGGAATCGAACCCAGCCACCTCCAGCATGGTCTTGCTTTGTAGCTGCGCCTTTACCGACTGAGCTAAGGGAGGCCCCATTTATGACTTGGTACCATGTGTAATTAACGTCTATCGACTTAAAAGTGTGTTATTTATGACACTGAACATTACAACACTATTTAAATAAAACAACTCGTTATTGTTATTTACGCTTTACTTCGGGAGTTTAAGAAACATGTTGTCATTTTCTGTATGTTCGAGATATTTGTAACAAAAAAAAAATCATTTTTGGCCCAATGTCACCCCCGAAGCAATGTCACCCCAACTGGCGGTAGTCGAAAACCGGTCCATCCTTCATCTTCTTAAAGAATTTCGAACAACCTTCCACCCTTTCGGAATTTCAAACAACCTCAGGCCTCAGAAAATGTTCGCCGAAAATTTCACCCGTGCAGATCAAACATTTGCCATGACCAGGGAAAATCGCGAGCAGGCGTCAGAAAGTGCGTGAAATCGAGTAATCCAATTATTTGGGCCGATGATGATCGCTCTTCCTCTCGCTCGTTGCTGCTCTTGTGGTTATTGTTGATTTTTCCTTCGTTGACTTCGGTGGCTGTTCTTGGGTTGCGATGTTGTTGGTTTGGTTTGCCGCTCACTATGTCAACATTACTGCGAACGTACACGGGTGTGCGTACAATGCGTGGGTGGTTGTTGGCTGTGTGAGTGTTGGCGCGAGGCTATTTTTCTTGCTCGTGCTCCGGAAAATCAATGTAAATATAAATATAGCCGCCGGAGAAATGGGCGCGCGCTTTTTAGGGGGTGTTGTTTTCTCCGATGACGATGACGACGATGAGGATGGCTGTGACCTACAAACGGGTGGAAGACTTGGGCCGCATAAACAAATCGAGTGTTCTCGGTAGCGAGCAAACTGGGTTAGCCTTTAATTTTAATTGAGAAATAGAATCAATTTCCATTTCCACCGGCTAATGGTTCTGTAAACAGTGTTGCTTTCGGAGAAGGGTATTTCCAACGATGACATGAGGGAAATGGTCTACTGTGAGGACGCAAACTCTGTCAATTGGCGATCATAACTTTCTCTGAAGGAATATTGAAATTGGATATCAAATTAATCACACTTATAAACCCTGTGAATTAAGTAAACGCTCCCCCTTCTCTGACTGTAATTGCTGCAGCTTTACCACTGATTAACGCCTTCATTAATCGTACATCTTTCTCTTTCTTTTCAGACAGCGTCTCTCCCATCCACGAGAAGTAACGCCTACCCCGGCTTTTCGCCCGCTGTAGCAGCTTTCAATCCGTGCACCAACAAGCAACCTCATCTCAGCGCCATATCCCACCTCTGCTAGACGCCTCCTGCCGCTTGCTACTCAAGACCCGCCCCCGTGCTTGTGCTTGTGCTTTTTGCATCTTCCGCTGCAGCAGCATCCATCGAAAATCAGCTCATCATCAGCCCAAGGAACAGCCACAATCCTGCTCCCCACCATAACACCCACAAGAGCATCTGATTTACAGATTTGGCCGCGTGAAAAGCTGCTGTAGAAAGTCTGTCGCCTCATCCGGACTACCATCGGAGCAGCAGCGAGGACGAGTAATTAGAAGTTACAGAAAAGGCGAAATCAGGAAACGGCAAAACTCTTCCCAAGGACAATCAAAGCTTGCGTCCGTTCAGCGAGACTTCTGTGAGAAGGAGAGAAGCACAGAAAGATATCCTGGAACAGGAAGCAAATTATCCTCCTCCATCGAGAAAAGAAAAAAACCGACAGTAGTAGTCAAGCAGATAGTCTGTCAGTCACTCATTCATTCAGTAGTCAGCGAGACTGAAAGGCAGAGAAAACCAAAAAACGTCCGTTCCTGAGTAACTTGCGAAGGAATTAATTTTTTAATCTTAGCGAAACAGAAGTCAAGCAGAGAGAAGAGTTTGGGAAGCGGAAGTACCTCTAGTCTTCGTTTTAATTGCCATAGGAATTAGTTAGTGGAGGCAAACAAAAACCAAGAAATCTCAACGTCAAGGAGAAAGTAAAGAAATAGCTTCTCTGGAAACGGAATAACCTACATCGACTTATCTTGTGATACACTTTGGCGAATCGAGTCAAGAACGTAGCCCGGTGGTTTGGAAATTATTATTCTGGTACAGAGAAATCAACCAGAGCGAATTCTTAGTGCATTGTTACAAGATCGTTGTCTCAACTTGTAGCGCTCTTAGCGATTTTTTGCCGGTAGTGAATGTACGCGTAGAGTTTCTTCCCTCCCTACCAGAGACACGTGTTGTGATTTAACCCCGAGTGAGAGAGAGACAGAGAACGAGTGTACCCAGTTCCTACTCCTCCCAATTAATCAATCAATACTCTAAGAAAGTAAACGTCGGGCCTAAGGCACATAAACGAAGCAAAAGAGCACACACGCACACACACAAAACCAAGTTCGCAGAAATAGTATATGGCTGCCATGATGAACATGACAAATCTACTGAACGGAAAGGACTCCCGTTGGCTACAGTTGGAGGTATGCCGCGAGTACCAGCGGAACAAGTGCTCCCGCCCGGACACTGAGTGCAAGTTCGCCCATCCACCGGCCAACGTCGAAGTACAAAATGGACGCGTCACCGCGTGTTACGACAGTATTAAGGTAGGTGTCTCTTGTATATCTTCGCAATATGTGCTCGCTGCCGGGAATGGGGATTTTATGATTCTTATCACATACTCGTGATATGATATGATGGTAGACAAACAACTAGCCTCGACAACATAAATTCGCCGAATGTGGTTGAATTGGATGGTGTAATCTGATCCGGGAAACATTATGTTCTTTATTTTTTTTTTTAGCTGTTGTGACAGGATGTTGATGGCAATGACATTGACCTCCCCTTGGTGGATATAGTGCTACGCGCTCTAATGGGACGCAATTTGAAACCTCATCATGGTGTTCTGGACTTAAAATCACCTGGTGACAAAGCGCGAATGAACAAAATATTTATCGGGCCATTTCCTGGTACATCATAAGCCTGATAATGCCACATTGAGAATGGTGTTTTCGTTGAGTGTGAGTAAGTCTGGAAGCATTTCTTCTGCTGGACAGTACGGCTACTCTCTCTGAAGTTTTCAAAGCCTTTATAAAAGAAACTCCGAGTCCATATGCTTGGAGATCTTTGTTACTCCTTTCCAGTGTTGTCAAGGTAAATTAAAAGCTGGATACTCACTGATTCTTCATATGATCGCATCTCAAATTCATGCGCCCTCTTTAAGGAGCGACTTTAATTGTAACTAATTTATGTCAAATTTTAACCAGCTAAAATTAAATAGATCAAGCCAAAATAGATCAAACTGTCTGCGTTCTATTTCAAACTTAAAAAATAGCGGTTAACTGGCAATGAAAAGTAAAGAAAGAAAAGAAAGAAAAGAACACATTCAAGAAAACTTTAGAAAGAATTTGGGATCCCCTTGAGGATTTTCCAAAACCAGGCTTTGGAAATTTGGATGGGAACACTAGTCTAAGATTCATTTACTCAAGAAACGGCGGAGATATACGTTCGACTGTATCCATGGTATCTGATGACTCCAATTCTGCGTAATGTGTTTTTTTTTTTATTTTTTTTATAAAGAACATGCAGTTGTCAAAAGAAGCTATACAACATGGATGTACTGACTATTTTGTTTATCTAGTTCGTTTATTTTTAAGGCTCAATCGCGTTAGATTTACGGAGCCGATAATTCATTGTTCTTTGTTTGTAACAAAATTCACTTAATTCTACTAGAGGAGTTGGGCCGAATACTCGCGGCTTACTCGAGGTTAGAGAGGTACAATGTCGAAGGATAGGGAAAGAAGAGGAGCTTTGGGGCAGGGTTTCGATGTCGCCAGTATGAACGGTAGTCTGGTTCTAGAATCGTCGGAGTTCGGCCGGCTATGGTGACCAGTGGGCGACGATGAGACTCATCGAGACGGGGGACAAGACAAACAAAAACTTATAAAGAGATACAAAAGAGAAACGAATTAAATTCTTATACTAGACATTTGCAGAAACACATAAATCGAGTGCATATAGCAGAGATGATGCACTGAATAGGCTGCCGCTTAGTTCTGATCCTATAATCACAGAATATTATTTTACCTTACTCCCAGAAGACTTCATGCAAGAAAGCGAAGATCGGCTGGAATAATTAGAGATGGAAGAAACATATGAAACATGTGAATAAGAAAAGCGGCGCCGGTGGTGTAGTGGTAAGCGTGATTACCTCTCACCCCAGCAGGCCTGGGTTCAATCCCAGTCGGCGCCGCCGGGATGTTCTGAGGCATAAAATCTCTGATCACGCCTTACGGGAAGTAAAGCCGTTGGTCCCCGGTTCATGAGTTGATGGGTCGATAGGTAGGGTCCAGGAGTGGGAGCTGCCTTCCTGGCGTCGGTAGCATTGGTGCTCAGCACGGAAATCAAGATCGACGGAAAACAAATCCAAGCAAAAAAAAAATGTGAACAAGAAAATGTCTTCTCAAATTCGGAATGAGTTTTTTTTTTCTAATTTCATTGGGTTTTTTACTTGTTGTTTAGTTTTTGTTTTTGAATTCTGATAAATGTTGTTGTGTAATACTCGGTGTAATATAATTATTTTCTCAAGGTGAAAGCTGATGGAATCCACAAATGGCCTCTATTTTATTTATTTTGCCTTATCACTTCGAGTTTTTGCGCCAAAAATCTCAGAAACTACAAATTTTCCGTGCATAAAATTGTAATGAAAATTATGCAGAAGTGCAGCAAAAGAGTGATTGTAATTTGGCACATGAAATCCTTTTAGTTTCTGAGATCTGTAAATTCGATGTGGCAAGGCAAAATAATCAAAATAGCGGCCATCTTCAATAATTTATATTCTTATAAATTTTAACACCTGCAGCCAAGAAAATATCATCATAGGTGAATTTTCATGTAAATTAGCCTACTTTTATGTAATTTTGTTTTGTTATGATCAACACCAACACCAGTGGTGTTGAGTACTTGGCACTGATGAAGTCTGCAAGTAGTAGACGAAATACGCGTATCTGACAAAAGATAAGAAATAAACCAACACACTCAAAGCTCTTCATAAGGATCTTGAGATATTTCGAATTTCAAAAATGCTATTATTTTAACCATTTATAAACATATCGCCAATTTCTGCAGGAGTTTAAAAAAGTTTGGTCTTTTGTTCACGCAAAGTTCAGCATATTTGTGGTTCTGTGTCAAAATTTCAGCTCAATTGATCATAACAGAACAAACTTACAACATGTCAAATTTGGCAAGTTTGTAAACAAACTTCGGCCTTTCGTGCTTTTTTATTGACCGCAGGTGTAAGCGATTTTTTACATTTGTTTTCAATTTAAAGTATTATTAGTTCTCAACATTTCATCCTTTGACGGTAAGTAAATCCGAAAAATACTTAACGACTTATAAATTTAAAAAAAATAGCATTATAAAATGACCCTCTTTCCTCCAAAACATGACTCCGCCCTTTTTTACCAAACCATTTCATTATACTTGAACAATAAGATGTATGTGACAAGTTAGGGCGGTCAAATATTTTTGACCAGCTAGAATTATTAAATACCCCACTGTGTGCCGTCAGACGCTTCTCCTTTTCAGCTTCGATTTGCTACAAGGCGAATGAGAACGACCCAAATTTGAGTTTAGTTCAGTCATAATTGCCAAAAGTGCAGGAACTCAGCGATGAGTAAAATTTGTCTCATGGTTTCCTGTGGAAATCTTAAAAATTCTGCCGGAAAATGAGGAAATTGACGAAAATTTTATTCAGTCTCGGAGTAGTACCAATAGACTGAGTGAATCAAATCTTTACTTTCCTCAAATTCGGGAATTTTTCCCTGGAAAATCCTGAAAAAACCTGAGAAAACATGAGGCAAATTTACTCATCGCTGAGTTCCTGCACTTTTGGCGATTATGAGTGAACTAAACTTAAATTTGGGTCGTTCTCATTCGCCGTGTATTGTTAGCCTGGAATCGATCAACCTCGTGGATTGATCATCCGGGGAAGAATATTCTTCCACTGGTTGGAATTGATGTTCCGTACGGTAGCTTCAGACCGTTTTCGTAGCCAGAATCTGCACTTTATGCGAATAATATTTTTCTCGACTGTGATCTGCCAATAGCTGTCCAATTTAGCAGCAACCATTCCAATGCCGAGAGAAAAACACAACAAAACCTAAAGAAACGCTTGGCCCAAATCAGTCAAAATTAGACTGAGAGTTATGCGAAATACAAAAAAAAACAAAGTACTTCAGAATTTGTATACAAAATTTACAGCAGTGGCCAGGACTCGGGCTGGATCTGTACCAAAAATGTGGACAAACTACTAAATAGTTCCCTCTTACTAAAACTAAGGTACGGGTCAAACTAGTCTGTAATCAGCTCGCCATAAAACTTAACCTATTTCAGACGTTTTGCTCTTTGGAATTGGCCTTTTACAGGGGGACATAAAAATATGTCATCTTTCACTCAGAGCAGAAAGTTTTACAATGCTAATCCAAAACTAGCCCGGATGAAGATCTCATACACTGGATCGAAACGTTGACGATGATAAAACTGTAATCGATACTTTTTCTGGACTATTGAAGATTTCGGTGCTTTACTGAAGTTAATGGAACTGATCTAAAAGTCTCAAATCTTCAATAAATTTTTCTGGGTTTCTCAGATTGTTTAAAGTTCCCAAGATTTTCCTGAAGTTAATTGAACCGCCTTAAAATTCTCCGGTCACGACTGCAACTCCAGAAATTTACCAGAAATTTTTGATACAACTTCCTTGAAGCTCGTGGAACATCCTTTAGAATCTATAAAATTCCCTGAGCTTATTTGGACTTGCTTGGAGTTTTTGTTCCTTTAGGAAGTTTCCTAAACTTTCTACAATTTTAATAGGTTGTTCGACTGCGAGGGAGATTTATTTTTTATTGCGTTCCTAGTCTATGGTAATCCAAACGGCCAGTTATGCATTGCTCGACGTTTCGGCTGCTTATTGTGCCCTTTTTTTTAAGGATAGACAGTTTTACCCTTGAAAAAGTCCATCATAAACGGCCGAAACTGACCGTTTGGATAGCCCTAGATTAAAATCCATAAAAAAAGAAAAAAGAAAAAAAAACGAGAATTTCTCGGCACTTCTCTACCGCTTCAACAATTTTCCTGATGATAATGGATCTTCTCTTAAGACCCCTTGATATTCTAGAAATTTTTGGAATATTTCTGCAATTTGCGGAATACTTTATAATTTCTTAGCACTTCTTGAAAGTTCCTCCAATTAATAAATGGAGCTTCTCAAAATTCTCAGGACATCCCTAAAAACAATTAAAACTGTAGTTCTATAGACTTCCCTGAAATTCCCGGTACTTCTTATAGTTTCTCGAAATTTTCCTGCTGTCCTAAATTTATAGAATTTTACATTTACAGATTTTAATACCGTAAAACGGGGTATCTTTGATAATGCGGGTTATTTTGATAGTATAATATAAAGAATAAATTTACTCGCTGTGCTTTTTCCAAATAAGAAACATTGGTTCCATATTGTAGCTTAGGGTATTTCCGTTGATATCGTATATAGTTTTTATATAGTATGTGCTACATATTTTACAAAAATATTAAAAAAAAAACCCATTTTCGT